AGGTTTCCTGCAAGGAAGCAACTTCTTTTTTTTTCTCTGTGATGGAAGCAACACTACATAAACATTTTAGACATTTACACAGCAGTGGGAATAAGACTACAAAGTAAAGTTGTACAGAAAAGAATTGGGTTGGTCCAGGTCTGAAGTTGGGCAGGAGTGATGTGATACACCAATGAATAGTGCATGAGTGTTGAACCCGAGACTGGTAACTATAACTAGGGACTGATGAGGGACGTCATTGTGAGCAGAGTCTGACAATCCGCATTGGCTGTGCACAAAACAAAAGAAGAATAGACATTTTTTCTTGAATCCTAAATCACCTTTTTACGATGGTCGCTAAAAAGCCAACTGGCATCTTTTATGTACAGGCAAAGAGACCATCAAATGACTCTAACTGCTAAACTACAACTGTATAGTGCTTCCGCATAAGCTCAAGAAGCTTCATCCTAACTAAGGTAATGTTAAGGTAAGGTCACAAAGACGTGCCTTTCAGAGGTTATATTCATGAGTTTGGCACAGTGCAGCTATTTGTAATTGTAATATGAAAACAGTTCTTCACTGGCAAAGCTTCCAAATGTGAGAGCATGAGGTAATCAGCATATTGCCATGTCACTATAGAATTTCATGCAAGTAAACAAAATGTCAACCCAGCCTAGTTGGAAGAACGCTCCCTTTAATCTTTAATACGGTGCTGCTCCAAATTGGGTCTTGGTGCAGCCACACTGTCTTTTGTCATGGAATCACCAAATGGTGTCAAGTCCTTTGCAAATCCTTGTGCCTTAAATGCTTTCAGGCTTTAACCTTAAGGTTTAAAAACTGACCTCAAGTTTGAATTACACAAGTACTGTTGATACATTTTTGCATACCTGAACTTTCCCGAATACAAAAGGATCAAAGAAGGAAAACATAGTTTAATGTGTTAGGTGTTAAGCTGTGTTAAAAGCACTGATTATGTTGCATTATTTTGCTGAGTTGAGGCATGCTTTAGCAACTTCTATTCAATGCAGCTTCTATTCGATGCAGAGTACAACTCATCAACTCATCAATTACACATACAGCCAGTCTGTAAGCCATACGTCAAAGTCTAAAGTTGCTGGTATCCGATGAAACAAGGCTCTAAATTATTTAAGTGCTAGTCAGCGCTAAGTCAGTGTTGCATGGCATCCTCATTATGTGGAGGTATCACTGTTCACAACAAAAGAAAAAAATTTTGTTTAGAGGGAACAACAAGGAAACAAGTTATCATTATTGTTAAATTGGTAACATATTTTTGTGTTTTACAGACAACCGGAAATGACAGCTTTTTACATTAAAAATGCATATTTAAATAGATATCTACTGGATGTGTATTAAACAAAACTTCATTGTTATCTCTATGCAACTTTCCTTGTCTTTATCTAGAACTCTAACAGATGCATCCTTTTCTTGCCTGCTCAGCTGGAAGTTTGCGATACTCTCAGTGACACCAACTTGACCACTCTGTTGAGGGATTCTGTCCTTAATTACATGATTCTATAACGGCAACAAGGGGTTGAGGAGTTGTCCTTGTTCCTCGAGGATGGCCGGTAACCATGTCATCAATCGTGCAAAGTTACTGGCCTTCCCTGTAGTCTAATATACTAACCTCATTCTCTGATGGGTGTTGTCATCAGAAGCAACTTTAAACACTTTGAAGTTGACACCAAACCAGTGCACCATGGTTGACTTTTAGTGTCTGATGAAGAACAAAAAGCTTTTTAACTTTATTAAAAAAAACAATGATGTGCCGTCTCAGGTGCAAGATATCAGCTAAGAAAACATGTATGTAATATAAAAGAGCTTTATTTATTGTATTATGGATGAATAATTAGGTAACATTAACGAATATGCACAAGCAAGCAACCAAGCCCTTAAATTGACACCTTTGACAATGTCGTCTAGGGTGAACCACAGAATGACTTGATACCAACCATGCAATCTTATCCTATGTAGGTCCAGTGTCCAAAGCCCTTTCTTGGCTGTTGGTTGTAGGCTGGTTATCACCATCTTGTTTGTGCTCCAGTGACTCTGTGGGCACACCACCTGACTATGGTGTTGTGTATCCTTATGACACATTTTAGACTCCCTGATGGGGGAGTTGGGCAAGCTTCATCAGTGAAACGCAGCCAGAGGCCATTGTTCCTGTTGGTATCTGGGGGAGGGGCATTGTACTAGACAGCCAGCACGTAGGGCCCAGGTGGATCTGACCTCAGGTGATCCCAGGAACTTACTTAAAATTATTTACTAAAAAAAATGAATGCGTGGTTTGTTTATTCTATGATTTGAAATATATCCTATATCAACAAACCCTTGTAACTTATGTTACTTAAATGGACACAAAGATTCAGCTATACTGTGTACCTTGTGTAGACTTTCACCAATGGCTCATCACGAAACTCCCTAATCCCTATGACAGTGCTTATTCCAATATCTTCTCTGTCTTTCATCCAATACCATCATTATGAACACTGCTAGGTCAGCCTTTAGCAACAACAAAAAAAAATACTGTATGTCTAGATATGCCCACTCAAGATAATATACCATACTTAACTGTATACCTGTATACACCTGTTGGGGAGACAGAGATGAATGGAAGCACCACCTGTAGGTTGCACTGTGTACTTCTGAGTTGTAGCTAGAAGGAAACTTACTTCACCTGTTTAACTCAAACTGGACTGGTGATGAATTGCACTGCACTGCTTACGGTTGCAAAGGTGACTAATATCCTTTAAGCTAAGCTAGCTCTACAGCCTGCTTAAGTGCGAGCTAGTTGTGACCTTAGACATATAAGTGTTTATATGTCTATGGTTGTGACTGCCACTGATGCTAAAGTGACTTCTCGGGTTATTTAAAGTGCAATCATTTATACTTAAACATGTACATAAGTTGTTGCTTCTGCTGACAGTCTTTAAGAACAACTAATACTCTAGAAAATCTGGCGCCAACGTTATCATATATAACCCGGATATCATAGATAACCCTTATGTTACGTTGCGTTGCAGTTAGCTTAATTAGCTAAATTATTTAGTTTATCTGACGCGTGTTTAGTCGTCATCACAGTCCCACGCACGCGCACAGGGTTGGGAGGGTTAATTTTAAAATGTAATCCGATACAGTTACTAATTACCTGCTAAAAAATGTAGGCAGTAACCTAATCCAAGTATCACAATGTGAAAGTAATGTAACTTGATTACTTTCCGTTACTTTTGGATTAGCTCAACACCAAATATATAAATATAAACAAGAGAAAATAATTATCAATAAGAAGTATTGATGCAAGTGTTTTCTTTAAGACAACATAACAATGTAAATCTTGAAAAGAAAATGGAAAAAAATGGGTTAATAATCCTGATAAATAATCCTCATTTTTACTAAATGTATCTGTAATCTGATTACATATTTTTTCTGTAACTGTAATGGATTACAGTTATGGTTTGTATCCTGATTACGTAACTCAGTTACATGTAATTATTGAACTAAAATTATTAAACTCTACAAACAATTATAGGGTTATAATTAATTCATTTTATTTAACAGGCAGTATCACTGCAAGACCTTTTTCCCAGCAGCCATTTTGAAATACAGGTGTTACCAATTATATTAATTACGGTTCTGTTCCATTCAGGTCAACCAGAGTCAGGATGCTGCTATTGTGCATGTTGGCACACCTTAATTAGTATCATTGGTAACAACCTGGTTTGACCTTAGTATTAGATGTCAAAATGGCTGCTGTGAAAAAGGTCTGTTGGGTAAGAGGCAGGGCCCTCACCAGTTCATCACAAGGCTGACACTGATTTATCAATAACAGTAGATTAAATCATTTAGTTGCCAAAGAATAAAACCTGATGATGGAACTAGATTAGATGTGAAAATGTATGGAAATCCATCCATCCATCCACAAATATGAATATCTTGGTGGCGCAAAAGAAGTCAGAGGAACACTAAAATCATTAGGATATATCAATTGTATAAAAACCACATCTGTAACCAATTATTTGCCAATCTGCCTTGTAAATGTTAATATATTTCACGGGATAATTATAAACTGCTGGTGGCGCTAGAGAAAAAGTCAAGGTATCACCTTGTCAGTGGGATTCATCCTATGGGAACCATAAAGGTCTATACACATCTTTGTGGAAATCCAGCCAATAGTTGCTGAGATATCTCTTAACTTGACAGATTCTTTAGCTATAAACTTTTTGATTTCATAATGTATGGTATTTCCTGTTGGCTATTTTAGAAAACAACTTTAATGTGGCTGACTGATTGATGTCAGATTAGTCAAATACATTAATACTTAGTCTCATGTTTCACTGACTTCTGTGTGATGGGGCTTTTGTGTTAATTTAACCCTAAAACTCAGTTTATGTGAATTTAGCTGAAGCCATTTATAAAGACTGACTTCAGCTTGTTCTTTAGAAAGAAATACCTCCATCTAGTGGTCATACCATTTGATTCATCAAGGAGGAATCATGGGTAAAAACCCCCCCAAAAAAACCACTAAATCTTTTGCCTTATGTATTGAGGGCACTGACTCCATGAGAGAGAGAGTTAACGTCCAAGCAATGTATGTCACTGACTATTATACCACCGTTGTCATGGTAATTATTCATGAGGGCAGGCTCTCTTCTTTGCTTCCATTTTTTTCTGTCTCCAGGAAACGTTGCATCCCTTCGGCCACTTCCATCTAGCAAGCAGGGAGTGTGGTGGGGGAATTAAAGTGACACAGCTATATTATGTTGAAAGTAAAGCAGAGCAGCTCACAAGGGGTGAGATCTTTGAAGGGGGAGTAGCCTTTTTATAGACGAGACTCATTGAGGATCAGACTCTCTCCAGACTCCCATAACCTTTAAGGAGACAGGAGTCATTTACCTACGTGGATAACCTCTCTTTAATTCTTCTCTAACCCACTGGATAAGATATAACTGGATGCTTTGTTTTCATGCTTTTTTATTCTCTATTGGTTTGTAAGGCACAGATGGACGAGCAGCTGATGCAGGGGGCAGTTCCTTGCACAGCACACTTAGAAAGCGACAACCCGAAGGCATCTTGAAATAGCAATTCAAAAGAGGAGGAGGGGAAGAAGGAGGAGAGAAAGGAGGGGGTTTTGAGTGAGAGCATTGGTATGCCAGGCTCAATATCTAGCATGGCTGTGGAGAAGAAACAGAGTGTCATCCCTCCATCGCAGGGACCACTTTCTACACGTACCGTCGAGAGCCAGAGGAAGGGGAATGGATCTGAAAGAACGAGAGGTTAGTAGCTTTTACCTGTGCTCTTGTCTATGAAGGATTTGTATGGTTTCCATATCACATAACAAAACAAGCCTCTCCTTGGAGGAAAGCCAGAATGACTGTAGATCATAGATACAGGATAATCTGATCATATTGATGACGCATTCATAGAATATATAGTATACATTTCCTTTGAGAAACCATTTATTATTTTACAATTGAGCATGGCTACCATAAACATGAGAAAATCAGGGGGCAACTGTGGACACAGATTACATAATACACATAGAATAATCACCTTCTTCATATTTTTTGAACCCTAAAGGAATACATCCATGTGATTTTTTGTCCCCCCCCCTTGTTCATATATACCAATTATTCATCGGTCTTGTGTTGTCCTTTTTCCTTGCTTGTTTCAGTCATCTTCATGAGGACTGGTCAGGTGCTAGCATGTTCTCCTCGCCTTTTATACGCAGGCAGTTTATAATGGCTCTTTTATTTGCAGCTGACCCTAAGGCCATCCCAGTTCATAATAGCCACTATTTGGGACAGATTTTTTGAAGATGATTTGTTTTTGGTTTATATGTCACAGTCACTTCACTTCTAAAAAATGCATTTAGAGGCAGAATCATAATGTATGTTTACAGATAGTAGAAAATCAAAATATCCAAAATAATATTGAGAAGAATAAAACCTTGAATGGGTCAGAGTTATTACTATTTTCTTACGGAATAACATGCAGTTTTTTTTTCTCACTCTTAGACAATATCAAACCAAATTCACAGGCAAAGAAAACGGCCTGTTCTGTCAACAACTCTGCCCAAATCTGCCACACAGCCACTCCACGGGCCACTGCAGGTTTGATACAGCTCTCACATTCACCATTTTATGAGGCTGCTGTCATTTTAATAGGATACTATGACAACTTTCAGCATGACTTTTCTTTTACAGACTGACTTGATGTTTAATGTTTAATATAACTAATAGTACTTCATGTAATTTGTGACATCAAAGTATTATTTTGCCATTCTAGTGGCTAATGGACCAAATGTTGATGAGAGGCTGAAAGCAGCACGGGAAAGAAGAGAGGAACAACAGAAGTTACTTGGTATGTGAGCTCCTGCGGTGGTACAATTCACACGACGCTGTTAATGCATTGTCCTCAATTTCTAATAAGATTAACATGCATAGCCGATTCACCTATTTAAACTGATTCATTATTTTCTCCCAGCCTCTCGGGAACTGAGCAGGGTGGAGAGGGAGCAGCGGGCAAGGCGATACTATGAACAACAACTGCAGCAGCGCAAGAAGAAACTCCTGGAGCAGAGGCTCAAAGAGGAGAGGAGGCGTGCTGCTGTGGAGGAGAAGCGCAAGCAGAGACTGAAGGAGGACAGAGTGAGTTTGGATGGTGGAAAACAAAAACACTTTTATTTTTAGTGAGGCTGATGTTTTCACAGCTCTCGATTGAGTAACATCAACACTGAAGCTTTTTTTCTTAAATTAAGGACCGATATGAATCTGCAGTGCGTAGGACACTGGAGAAGAGCCAAAAAGCCCAACAGAACCTCAATCAAAACTCAAGAGGAAGGAAGCTCACCAAGTACGGTAAGTAGAAATTAATGTGCTTTCTTTTTTTCCCTCTCTTTTAACAGGATCTTTCTAAACTAATTTTAACCATACTTAACAGTATCTGTTCTCTAATTCTAACCCATACTTAACAGTATCTGTTCTCTGTGTATCATATCTTGACACAACACAATTCCTGGAGTTCCTTATCTTTTGTTTTTGCTGCACTTCTCAAACTTTAAACTGATCAATACGCTAGCTCCACGTCGCTTGCCACTGACAACATGGGAGAAGAACTTGGTCAGTCGCCTCCTTACCCCCACATGCTCTTATCTGGCCAGAAGCAAGAGTGCTGGTTGTCAGTCAGGAGAAGAAGGTACTCTCTCCCTCATGATAACAGAATCCATTTGCTTTAATTGTATGGCAATGCAATGCTAATGGTTTGTTGATACTACTACAACTAACATTTCTCAGCTCTTTGATTACTAACGCTGCTCATTTTCCTCTCTGTTCACGTGCCGCTTCACATTTCCATTACTGCTTTCACCATGTCTATATTTCCCCCCAATTTCCCGTAATGATGGCACAAATCACTGGCTCAGTTGTCCATATTTGTCGCCGTGCAGTTTCATTCCACTCCATGAATACCACCACCACCACCACCACCACCCCTCACAAAACCCAGCACCACTCTGGTTCAGTCCACCACAGGCCATCTGCCTCCCCCAGTCCCAGCAACAGCCAGCACAGAAGCATCAATCTGGCACAGGTAATTTCAGCTGTGCATTTGGTCTTACATACATGCTGTCTTGCTTATTATTTTTTGGATCACCCAGCTGTCTTTTTTTTTTTTCAGTCTTTAATTATTTTGTCAGATTTATGTACTGAAAGCGGAGATTTTATTCTGATTAGTTTATTTAGATCAGTATTTTTCTTTTTGTTTTAGATCAAATCAGCGAGAAAGCAAGACACCAATAAGAAGAACTCAAACAGTGGCTCAAATTCTAGATCACCTGCCGTCAACACCAGTGTCAAACGAGCCACAGTTACACAAAGCAGAACACCCTCCCCCTCACCTGAACGGTAGGTGAAATGTTTGTCCACTGTGCATTCATGACATATTAACAGTAAACTGAACAAAGTGGGACATCTGCTCTCTTCTGCTGGATCTTAAAGGACCCCCCGAAGATCAATCAGCAGACATTCAACCCCGCTGCAGCTCGAGCTCCCATCGGTCCCTGAGGAAGATGTTGCAATTTGTAGTTCTGCCCTCTCTCCTGGTAACTCAAGGCCTGTCAGGACACCAGCTGAAGGTCAGCAAGAGAAAATGAGGAACGAAAACCCACCAGAGACTCCATGTTTGAACCTGCCCAACAAGAAGATAGAAGCTATAAGCAGAACTGCAGGAGATGGAAGTAAGCTAGACACATAAAGTGCAGCATTTCAAGTGGTATTTAATGTGTTTCAGATATATTTTGAAGTTGATATTATTTCTCTTCAGGTCTTTCCCAGACGCCTCTTCGTCCAGCTCCACAGCCTCCTGAAGTCATGTGCAGGCCTTCAGCTGGGACTACAGACCCAGAGGAGGCCTCACGTCTCCTGGCTGAAAAGAGGAGAGAGGCCCGACTGCAACGGGAGAAAGAGGAGCAGGAGCGCCTGCAAAGAGAGGAGGCTGAAAGGTAAAAAGCATGTCCACCTATGAGACAGAAACACTGCAGTAGCAGGGCATTAAGTCTGTTCTATTACAATTTATAACATGTTTCAGGCGGAGTCGTGAAGAACTGGAGCGCAGGAGGGCAGAGGAGCGAGCACGACAGCAGGCCGAAGCTCAACGTCTCATAGAGGAGAAGAGGAGAAGGGAGGAAGAGGAGCAGAGACGAGCTGAGGAAGAAAGAGCTCAGGCTATGAAGGAAGCCGCCCTTCTGCAGAAACAGGTCGGAAATGCAAATGTTACTCAGTGCAGAAGGAACTACATCTGCACCTACAGGCAATGTTGTGGATGCTTTTTGGGATTTTTTGCTAATGGACAATTTCTTTGTGTTCCCTGTTTTTGTGTGTTTCTGTCTAATATAGCGAGAGGAGGAACAGGCCAAAGAAAAGGCCAAAGCAGAGCAGATGAAGCAAGAGCGAGAAATACTCGCACAGAAAGAGGAGGCAGCCCGCCAAGCAAGAAAAAAGGTTTGAAAATGTTAAATAGGAATTAAGGAAATGTATTTATCATTACACAACACAAGTTTGTAATTCTTTCATGCTACATGATAGAATGTATATACTGTTTGTTTTTTTGATAAAATAAACCAAAATATACAGTTATTTATATACATATATACATACACATATACCCCCAGGAAATAATTCTGCAGTGAATTTTGAATTTGCATCTTGGGGGAATGTAAACAGCAGTAGCAAAATACATTTGAGAAACAGTTTTCATTCACATAGACTACATTTGAGCATGAAGCTTCATCAAGTCCATCTTTCCTTGACCTGGGCTCTGTCGGCTCGGAACATGGTCCACCGGGATGATGATGGAGCAGGTCTTTGTAAAGATGTGGGCACAACTGTCTATGATTTCCTGTTGTTTGGTCAGCCTGAGTCCCATTTCATCCAGACTGGACATTTAAAAATGTCAAAATAAAACCTAATCAGATATGATTCAATTATGTTTTTAGCAATAAATACATATAAAACAAAAATATAGCGAGTTTGAAGGAGCTACCGGCCACTGCATATACATGGTCAGCCACTGCCATGACAAAAAAAGTTAAATTGCTATATCCGTAAACAACTATGAATTATCTGTGTTAATCAAAATGAATAATATCAAAAGTTCTGTCTTATTTAAGAGACTGAATCTGAATGTTTTCAAAGTCTAGTATGACAGTGTTTTAATGAAAGCCGTTTTCTTTTCCAGCGACTTGAGGAGATCATGCGGAGAACCAGAAGGACAGATTCTCCAGATACGGTGAGATTTAGAATTCAATTTTTAAAAAGTACATTGCCCCAGGGCTCTTATGACGCACATCCAGTATCCACTAATAACTAACCAGCTCCATGTCTAAAAGCCAAAAAGCTTGACTAAATTGGTTAATACTTCTTTATCACAGAACTCTGTACCAGTGAGGACCTCGCCAAATGAAGCCCAACCAAAGGAAAACACAGAGCCTGTGCACAATGGCACTATAGAAGATGCAGTCAAACTGCCAGTGGGGACTAAAACCTCACAGCTGGGGCTGAACAATGAGGAGGACATGGTACCTGTTGTGGCCTTCAAAGAACGTAGGTCTCTGAGGACTCTCACAGGCCTGGAGGAAATCCAGACCCACCAACGAGCAGGTGAGACACGGCCAGCAGATCACTTGAGAACATTTGTCCTCAGAGTGGGAAATTAACACCAACCAGCTCTTTGTCAGGCAAAACCCGACAGTATTCAAAGCAAAAACTGTCTTGCCTGACAAAGAGCTTGCAGGTCAAACATTGCATTAATAATGACTTGTTTGCAAATTTAAGTGTCCTTTTCTTTTCCTCTATATACAGTATCCCTTAATAAAAAAAACTAAAAATATATTACTCATCTCTTCAGCTGCTCTGAAACATTTTATTTGATATTTTTTTTGTTGTCTCCCTGTTGTGTATTCTTTAGAGGTCATCTGAGCACCTGCAAAGTGGGCAGACATTCAAAGACCGTACTGGAGAGCAGTGATTTCTCTGTGAAACACAGGAATTGCTGCAGCACAGCCATTTTGCTGCCCGTTGGCACCTTGAAAGAGCATGTAAAATTACAGCCTTGCCTCTCACTGAGGACATCAGCATTTGGTCACATTTCTGTGTGTAACAAGTGGCACAAATACTGGGCAAGTTATTTATTAATTTCTTCAGTACAGCAGGTGTCTGAACTAATAATGACTATCCAAAAAACTGTAGATGTAGACAGTGGTAATGATAGTTTGCTGGCAAATACAGTTTCAGTTATGGAGAGTGTTGCCTTTGTGAAATACTAGGAATAGCCGTTCTAACAATCACAACATATGTTAGCCATATGCTTTTTGCTTATTCCTGATATTTCTTGCTATTCTAAGCACTTTTCCTTCCTCAGTTTTGTCACTGTGGAATAGCTCAAGTGGCCATTTGCGCTAAGAACACAAGAGTTTTTAAGCTCACTTCCTACATAAATCCCTTGATTTTGTGAAATATAGCAATCACATATTTCAAAGCTGCTACGGAACTTAGTTTCCAAAGACTTTGCTTCAGTTTTGTGGGTGTTGTTTTAGAGAATAAAATGCACAAAGCTTATTGCACTGACAGTTGCTATGTTTGATATTGCGCAATCACTTTACAAAGCAAAGTTTAAGGCAGAAGTTAAGAAGTTAAGTGAGTTTATTACAATAAAATAATATAAAAACAAATGTATCTGATCATCAATATTTGATCTTATAGTTTAAGTACTGCTTATACCTATCACTTGTTAACCTGTTATAAAATTGAAACATATGCCATATTTAATTAAAGGTAATACTATGCCGCATCTCTGCCTTGTTTTTCACTTAATTTGTTGACTGTAAACATAAAAACTCATAAAAAATGTAAAATAAACACATTAAAACACCAAACACGATATCAAAATGCTGCTTGTCCATGCAGTGCATGAATGTAAACACCTCATACAGTCCACACTGTGCACATTTCTTAGTATTTGTACTGAGAACTTTAAGGGTTAACAGAAGATGGAGAAAGGGGCTGAATCATTTGCAGCAGCCGTCTGGTTTCCTCCGTCTGCGCATGCACCTTCCTGAGCTGAATCTCCAACTCACTGCCAGCCAACAGGGATGAAAAGTCTCCATCTGTAGAGGAAGAAAAAACATCCCAAGAACTGCTGAATTACGATGCCTGATTATTTTAGACTTGCTTGGGGACATATGCTATCAGATCATTGAAATTGTTGCAGTACCCTCAGTTGCTAAATACGTAGGTGTACAACAAATACAAACCTTTCTTGAGGTTGAATACTGTAACTATGGCAAGTTGCTGAAACTTCACATCTTTCTTTTGGAGAAACACCAACAGGTAGTCCAGCATGGTAACATAGTGAGGTCTCAGCAACTGGACCATTTCCCCTGGGTGAACAGTGTGAAAACATACAGAATATAACAATATTTAATATGCAATATAAAACCAAACTGATTATTTGATGTTTTCCATCAGTGAGTAATATCTGCACATAACATTACCAGTTATTTCTAGTTTGCTGAGGATGGCCGCACTGTTGTATGGCAGATCAGGATTTTGTATTTGCTCCGACAACTTCACCAGTCTTGAAACTTGTTCTGATGTTATTGTGGCTGACAATTTAGACTTGAGTGGATCTGAAATAGTGACAGATTGTGGATGCTTTTCATATAAAAAAAAAGGGGTTAAAAGTAGAGCAGCAACATTTAAAACAGAACAGATAAATACAAATTAATGTCCTGGTCACTCACCCCAGGTCATCAGCTGATGTAAGTGTAACGTCACATGCAGCATGGTCTCATCTGACAGGGCGGGAGATAGAAGAGCCCAGAGGAGTCCTGATAAACACGGACTTTCCATCACAGCCTAGACAACAATAATGGGATTCAAAGTGGCTTTATCAGGAGTTTATCTATTTCATGCACGATGTACAAACAAATCACGTATTTACTACAGACATGTGACATGAAATCATGAATTGTAGCCATGGCGTACCTGCTGACCCACGCAGGAGCTACACAGGTCAGCGATTATCTTGCAGCTATGTGTGATTATAACAGAGCTGGATCTGTGATGATGAAGCAGCTGACCAATTTCATCCAACAGCCCTTCGCTCACCAGGATGTCCTGGAATCAAACCACCATGAAAATATGATCAATATTGGAATTGGAACAGATTAGTTGCCTCATTTCTGCTGTCATTTTCTTTGACATCCATTGATTATGACAAGAAAAAGGAAAAAGAAGGTTCAGGCAGACTTTCCAACCACTGCACAGCTGTAATACACCACATTTAGGTACCAACTCATGTAGGAGATCGTACATTGTTTGGTGGGTGTGCAGACAGTGTAGACAGTAGTGTTATGGCTGACTCAGGAGAAGAGGTTTTCAGCAGTGCCTTCAGAGGCAACACACAGTCAAGCTCCATAAGCTGCTCCTGGATTAGAACTACACAAAAAAAAATACAGTTTAAATGACAGGGTATGGTGTCGATTTCTGGTTTCACGGTTTACAATTACCATTCTTTGAGAGCGTTTGGAGGCATCTGCACGCTTGGGCTGAATTCTGAAAAAGGAATGAAAAAATGTTTTTGCTGATTTAACTTCAAATTCATCTATCAGCCACTAAGGGTAACAATTACCTTTTGCACAGAGGAAGACATGAGGGTGAGAAGAGATTTTAACAAAAAATGACCCCCAATGCTGAGTAACTTTGGATGGTGCTCCTGGACAGCAGCGATGTTGCACAGAGCGGTGCAGCTGTAAAACTGAACCTCTGAATCTGAGGACTGCAGTAGAAGTACCAGCACAGGAATGGCTCCTGCTTGACATAAGATCCTTGTTGACCAATCTGGAAAAAAAGAGACAGTTTTTAGATAATGTTTCTGTGTTATATTCAAGCAAAGTAACACTAGAGAGAAAACAAATACAGCAGCCTCTGTTCTTGGGAAAAATGTGTGAATATTGAGATTTGAAGGATCCCACCTGACTGTGCAAGATGTAACAGAGCCCAAGTTGCGTTCTGTTGCACCAGTGGGTCGTAGGATTTTGCCAAAGCCAGCAGTGGTATGATTCCATCCACCATGATGGCTTCCATGTTTGATTCTGTAAAAAGAGAAAGAAAATAACCCCACACATAAGCTCAAGCTGATCAAGACAGAACTACCATATTATGTTGTCAAATAGTCTCTAAAAATAGATTACAAGTACATTTACACTATTAAAGCCTACTGTAACAATATATGAATAGTGTAAAATAAAAGTAAAATGTAAAATAATAGATAATATAATAATAAAAAAATAAGAGTTCTCCCTGTCTGTACAAACCTGAGGAGGCCAGCATGGTGACGCAAGCACATGAGTGACACTGAGCGGTGGCATCCCCAGACTTGAACGACTCCAGTATCGGCACAAGCATCCCCATTTCAATCACTAACTCTTTGCACGCTGAAATCGGATTTCATGGACAGTAATTATGAGCATCTGACGCACACAAACTATGTGATCATAGGTTGAATGCCTGACACATTGATTTGACCCATTAAAACAATATAAATACAGAGGAGAGGTTAAGGATTGTGAATTAACAAAGGACACTACTTTAAATACCTTGTTATTCTTATATCTTACCATTATTTTTTACTAACAGATTTACCAAGGACAGACAGATAGTCTTTTGCACATCGAGGTCAGTTGATAAAAGTAAGGCCATGACTGGCTCCATGAAGGCATCTGGTAAGGGAGAGTTCACTGTAACACACAATTACAAACAGAAAAAAGTTATTAAATAATGAACAAAAAATGACTGTGGTTGAAGGAGAAGAACTGTATGTAAGTTAAATGTCTTCATTGTGTATTTTTAGAACAACCAAGAATGATCTACAGGTTAAACACAATTTAAATTAGCTGTCTGTCTTACTAGATAAGGCCAAAAGTTAGTTATTAACATGAAATCTTCGACCCAAAAAGTCCCAAAAGAGATATCCCACCAAGTAAACACAGTAACTGCCACGTCCATGCAAAATACAATATGTGGTCACATATTAGCACACTACTGGACATAACTTGCACTTATCTTATCAATAAATGATCTGACAAAAGAGAAACCTGAACTACGCGAACTATGAGTACTACAGTCACATTATATGAGCCACTGCCCCAAAAGTTACCAGTTTATCATAGTAAAGGAAATTAACACTGGGATATTAAAAAGAAAAAAAACTATCAATGTTTTCTGCGTACTGTAACAACACTAAAGCCCCACACACGCTGGGTATTATCTGCCATCACTGGAAAAGAATACAGTTGCAAATTTGCATGATACTGGTCATACCCGTTAGGGAGCTTATCTCCACACTGAGTGATATGAGGAAACTGAAATACCAAGAGTAGTCTCAATTCATGTGCCACTGATCTGCAAGTCATTGCTATCATGTAGTCTGTCAGAAGGAACATAAAAATCAGTTTGACTTCTTTACTCACAATGATGACTGAGATGTAAATAATACATGGCTGCAGTCATTTGTAGATCAGGGTTTTCTGAGGTTGCAAGCCTGCTCAGTGCTTGTAGACTTCCCTGATTAAGGAGTTGAGTTTCATCATCTGAGAGGAGAAACAGATTAACAATAATGAATATTCCCAAACTTTAGGGATCATTCTAAAATGAACAGTCTAAAATGAACACAGTTGGACAGATATGTTGCTTTTCCCTTCCATCACATGGCTGTCTACAACAAAGAAAACGAACAGCTACAATGTTCCTACCATACACAAGATGTACAGAGGGCGACTCCTGAGAACTCCTTTCAGGTTTGATCCTAAAGCAGGTGCACCGACAAAGTTCTCTGAAAATGTCCCTTATTTTTTGCTCAAACTCTCTGCAAAATGTCCTCAAACGAGCAATAAATTCTTTGAGCAGTCGGTTGCAATCCTCACAAAAGCCAGAGGCCATGACTACATTTTCAGCAGAAAGGTACAGCACCTGTCTGTTTTACCCAACCTGCACACGGACACGCCTACTGGAAAGTCACGTGACTGTAAGGTAAATTGCACTTCTTTGTTACAGTACATTTCATTGTTCAGACTCTTTACATAACTCTTATTAAAAGGCAAACGTCCTGTACCGAGAGCAGGTTTTAGGTAAGTGTTAACAGTGGAGCTGATCACTTCATGTTCGCTAGTTTATCTTATATCCATATCTCATATTATATCCATATCTCATGTAAAATATATACCCTTTTCTCTTTACTTATATATTTATATTTGTATTAGTTTTTATTTTCTTTGTTGTATTAATTAATTAATTTAGGCTCTTTTTTTTGTTTGTATGGGTTACAGCCTCCTCTATACGATGTATAACTGTCTCTTGGGGAAAGTTTTCTTTGTAAAAAAAAAAAAAAAGTGCAAAATAAACGTTAATCAATTACTATACTACTTCTTTCTCTGATTGTGTTATTATTAATCCCACTGTCTCTATGCTGAGAGATAGCTGCGTAGATACGTAGATAGTTACGTAATTTTGATTCTGCTGTCCTCGAATTCCATTGGTCAATCCGGTTGTTTTTTACCCTTACGTCACCAACATGGTCGCCAAGCTCCGCCCTCACGTTCCTCCTCCTCGTTGTTGTTGGCTTGGTAACCGTCTCGGCGTTGTTGGTGAAGTTGGAGGACAGCAGCTACATGAACCTCAGTTAACCCTTTTAAAAGACATGCACGTAACGTTTGGTTTATTGTGAAGCTCAGACTGTTTGTTGGAGGAACTAAATCTTACTGTACCAAACGTAAGTGACGTTACGTAAACAATGCCAAGCTACATTAGCGCTTAGCAAGCTACGTTAACTAGCGGAGCTTCTCACAAAAATGTGCTTTTTCCTAAAGATTGTTTC